GTTCGGGTGCCGTGCTCCCGGAGCCTGTCCGCAGGCTCGTAGCGGACGCCGCGGGCGCGGCGCTGCTGGGGGTGCAGAGGTTCGGGGGTGGACAGAACCCCCAACAGGGACACGTCGATTAGTGAATTGTCCGTTTTCGGTTCTCGAGAGGGCGCCGTGGCCGTTATTTTCCAGGCTTGCGCCCGCCAGGTTTGGGCCTCAGGTCGTTTTCACTAAACCACGTTTTACTAAAGGGGGGTATGTCCATCCCCGAGAGGTGGAAGCCGCGATATCCAGCCGCCTGCGGCAAGGCCCGCCGCTGTGCCAGCCCAACATTCTGGGTGGCGACCTGTTCGAGGAGGGACACAGGAGGCCGTCACGCGTGAGATACCTCGCGTCTCCAGGATCAGGAGAGCTGTGATGAGGATGATCAAGATGCTGCTGCTGACGATGTTGATGCTGATGCCGATGTTGACAGAACTGGGGGGGGCTTATCATTATATATAATAATGACGATGAGGTTGATGATGTTGAGGGTAAGGAGGAGGAGGAAGAGGAGGATGAGGATGAACATGAGTTTGAGCATGAGGATGAGGATGAGGATGGTGATGGTGATGGCGATGCCGATGATCACGCGATTGGTGATGACGACGATGATGATGATGATGATGATGATGATGATGGTGATGGTGATGGTGATGGTGATGATGATTATGATGATGATGATGATGATGATGATGATGATGGTAATGATGATAATGATGATTCGAATGCTGATACTGATAACGACGTCGATGACGATGCTGACGATGATGGTGATGGTGATGATGATGCTGCTGATGATGGTGATGGTGACGATGCTGGTGATGATGATGATGCGGATGATTATGATGGTGATTGTGATGGTGATGTCATGATGATGAGAATGATGATGATGATGATGATGATGATGATGATGATGACGATGACGATGGCGTTGACGATGATGACGATGATGATGGCGAGTATGATGATGGTGATGACGGTGATGACGGTGATTGTGATAACGATGATGATGATGTTGACGGTGATGTTGATGTTGTTGATGATGACGGTGGTCATGATCATGGGCATGGTCATGGTCATGGTCTTGATGGCGATAATGGTGATGATGGCGATGATGATGGCAATGGTGATGATGGTGATGAGGATAAGAATGTGGATTAGGATGATGATGATGACGATGATGATGATGGTGATGATGATGATTACGATGGTGGTGATGATGATGGTGATGACGGTGATGGTGATCATGATGGTGGGGTTGATGATGATATTGATGATGACGGTAGTGATGATGGTGATGATGGTGATGGTGATGATGAGGAGGAGGATGAGGATGAATATGTTGATCATGATGATGATGACGATGGTGATGGTGATGAAAATGGTGGTAGACATGATGATGATGGTGCCGATAATCATGATGAGCGTGATGACGATGACGATGACGATGGTCATGGTGATGTTGATGATGATGTTGGTGGTGAAGAGGAGGAGGAGGAGGAAGAGGAAGATCATGATGATGATGATGATGAGGGTGACCACAACGACGATGTTGATGATGGTGGTGGTTATGATGACGACGACGACAACGACGACGACGTCGATGACGAGGAGGGGCCAGAGTAGGAGGAAGAGGAAGGCCATCACATGTGACATCTTTCGTTTTCACCATTCGAAGATCTCTCATGGAACGCGTTTGGGCCGTCTTCGGACTGCCTTGGCCTCCTCTGAAGCAGTCTTGAGGGTCCTTTGGTGCCCTCTTGGGCCGTCTTGGGGCCCTCTCACGCCACATTGGTGCTTTGTTTGGCCAGCTTGGGGCCATCTTGGTCGCATGGTTAGTGTTTTGGGACTGTCGTGGGGCCGTTTTGGGCCGTCGGATGGCCTTCCAAGGCCGTCTTGAGTCCCACGGGAGGCTCTCTTGGGAAGTCTTGGGGGAGTCTTGGAAGCGTATTGGACCACCGTGGGACTTCTGGGCCATCCTGGGACCATCTTGGGTCTCGGGGCCATCGTGAGGCGTCTTGGGTCGTCTTGAGTTGCCGGAGCCCCGAAACATCCGAACCCCAAGGGAAGCCGATGATTTTGGTTCTTCTTCGGAACCTGTTGGAGGTCCTGTTGTAGCCCTTTGGGGCCCTCTTGAAGGTATCTTGGACCGTCTTGAAGACATATTGGGCCGCCTTGGTGCCATCGTGGGCCGTCGTCGAGGCATCTTGGGCCATCTTGTTGTCCTTGGTTGTCTGCATGGGCCGTCGTGGAAGCTCGGGACGGGCATCAATATTTGTTACGATGCATCGTGGCCTCGGGAGCGCGGATCCATTGTTTTTCACAAGGGATCGTGGCCTCGGGAGGGGAGCCGGTGCATGCAGGTAGACGCGTCCTTGGTGAGGGGGAGTCCCATGTTGGAATACAGAAACCCTACCAGACAGCCCTCGGCATTCTTCTATGCCTCAACGTGCACAAGGCACGGTAGCAGATCTGGCCTGGGTCGTCTGGTCCGTGGCTCGCGCCACGCTGCGGGACCAGGCCGTGGCGCTCTTCTCGCCGGTCGTGGAACGGCTGGCCGCGATGCCGCCCGGGCAGGTCGGCATCCAAGATTTCACAATGCTGTCGTGGGCCCTGGCCACCGCCGACATGTCGCGCCACCACCTGCCGGCAGCCTCCTTCGACGTGCTCACCACTGAAGTGCTGCGTGGTCTGCGAGGTGGCCAGCCGGGTGCGGACCGCAGCTCTTTCCTGGCGGTGATGGCGTGGGCGTGCGCGCGGGCAGACCTCCGTGGCGCTGCGGTCGGCATCGTGGAGGCGGCGGCCGCGGCAGGGGCTCGGGCCCTCGCCAGCAGGGACAGCACGTGGAGCCTGAGGCACCTGACGATGGTGGCGTGGGCCGCGGTGGTGCAGGGCCAGCAGCGAGGGGCGTCCGCGCGCTTCGTCTTCGACGCGTACGTCTACGCCGCGGGGCGCCTCGGGCTGGGCCCCGGCGGCGGCGGCGTGGATAACCCGACGGAGCACGTCGGCCAGCTGGCCCTCATCGGCGCCGCGCTGCGCTGCGAGCCCGAGTACGCCTCCGCCTGCGAGGGCGTGCGGCTGCCTCGGGTGGCGCGGCGGCTACACGTGACTGAGTCGGACTTCCAGCGCGAGGTGGAGGAGTCGCTGCGGGGCGTGCTCGCGCGGGTCGGCGGCAGCTCCCACCTGCAGGTGTCAGTATCGTTCAACCGATCCCCATCCTCATTGGGCCATGGTATCTCAGCCCCACCATCCCACACCCAGTTGGAGATAGGCCTCGTGAAACCCGAAGGGAGCAGCATATGTCCCCATCTAGAAGAGTAGGTCGGCCAGTGGGACCAAGGCCAGGGCAGTGGGGATAGGGATCGATTTCACGATGCTCAAGGTGGAGGCGGTGGCGCCGGGCGGGATCTCGATGGATCTGGCGCTCGGCCGGGCTCCCTCTTCATCCTCCTTCAGCGATCCCAAGCCCTTGCGAGGGGCCTGCGGGCAGCGAAGCGTGCCCACAGCCAGAGGAGGCGGAGGGGGACGGGGAGAACGTTGATGGTGAAGTGGGCAGCAGGGTGGTCGGTAGTTCTCGGAGGTTTCAGGGGGCTCTCGGGGCCTCTTTGGGGTCACGGGGACTTCCTCCCCCTTCTTCCTCCTCGCCCGCATCCTCCTTTCTTCCCTCCCCCACGTCCTCCCACTGTCCTCCTCATGTTCGTCCTCGTCATCCTGTGCGCGATCGTTATATCCTCCTGCGCTCGCCTCTTCGCCCTGCTCGTCCCCTTCCTGATCGTCATCCTTCCCCACACGGGCGGCACTACAGCTGCTTCGATGATCGAGGCACTTTCCCTCTCTCCTCGGCAGCTCTCAGGAAATTTTGGCCCGGTTACCAACCGTGCTGCACTTGCTCGTGGCCCCTACGCTCGAGGCTAAACGCAGCGCGTGTCTCAAATGCTGTCGGGCAGCTGGGCCGGGCTTCTTAGCAGAGTGAGGGGGGGACGCACGGCCATCCACTGTCCCTGGGCGCGTGGCTGGAGTGAGGTTCCGCGGTGCGGACTGTTATTGTTGGTGTTGTTGTGGTGGTTGTTGTTGTTTGTGTTGTTGTTGCGACTGTTGTTGCTGTTGCTGTTGCTGTTGTTGTTGTTCTTGACCTTTCACTATTGAAGTAGAAGTCTTGTTGATCCCCCTACTGGTGCACATTGTGCTGTTCAACTGAAGTGCCCCACTCGGGGCTCGCACCCTGTTTTGATCAGGGAAAGTCTTCGTGCTCAAACTGTGTTGTTCCCCCCCACCCCGGCTTCAACAGCAACGGTTCCCGCCTGATTTTCCTCACAAGTTATTCCAAAATCGTGCTCTCGCGCGGGACTTTCTCACAATGTATGCAGGGATCGCGCTCTCACGTGGGAATTCCTCACAATTGATTCAAACGCCGCGCCCTGGAACGCTCTCGCTTTGGCCTTTCTCACGACGTACTTGGGAATGGCGATATCACCGGAGACTTCCTCGCGATTCATGCAGGACTCACGCTTCAGCAACCCGCCTGCTCGACCTGGTCGCCTGGGCCCGCCTTCCCGACCCGCCCGCTAGGGTCTGCCCGCCCGATCTGCCCGTCTGGTTCTGGAACACGTTTTCTGCTCCTGGCCCCCCTCTTGCTAATTTCTGTCGTGCTCCATCCTTCTCCCTCCCCCTTCCATCCGTCCTCTCTTCCCCTTTTGCAGGGGCTGCGCTACATGCACGTGGCAGGCAGGGAAAACATACCCCCACGAGGGCACGATCGAAGACGAAGAGGGCAGGCACCGAGCGTTTGGGACAGACGTGGAACGGCACGCGAGCAGATGGGAGCGAACAGTCTGAAAATGAGTGTTGTTGGTGGTGGTGGCGGTGTTGTTGGTGGTGGTGGTGATGGTGGTGTTGGTGGTGGTGGTGATGGTGGTGGTGGTGATGGTGATGGTGGTGTTGCTGCTGTTGGTAGTGTTGTTTATGTTGGTGTGATTAGTGTTGCTGTTGATGTTGTTGTTGTTGATGTTGTTGCTGTTGTTGCTGGTGTTGGTGTTGTTGTTAGTGTTGGTGCTGGTGTTGTTAGTGTTGTTGTTGACGGTGTTGATGGTGGTGGTGTTGTTGATGTTGATGCTTATGTTGAGGATGGTGTTGCGTTGTTTATTGTCGTCGTCCCACCCGCGACCCCGCCCGCGACCCACCCGCGACCGACCCCGCGACCCACCCGCGACCCACCCACGACCCACCCGCGACCCACCCGCGACCCACCCGCGACCCACCCGCGACCCACCGCGCGACCCACCCGCGACCCACCCGTGACCCACCCGCACCCCACCCGCGACCAACCCGCGACACACTCGCGACCCACCCACGTTGCTCTAACGAAAAATCGGCGCCTGCAGCTGGCTCATTGTATGCTCCAGCAAATTAGGCACCTGCGACGGGCTTCTTCACAGCCTCGCAGACTGCCGACGTCCCCGCCGCCCCCTCCTATCCGCAACTGGCGGGGGCTACGTTATAGGAAGAATGTCGGAATCATTCTGGCCTTGGCTGCACCATGAAGCTGGACACACCTGGAGGGTCGACCGGGGCGAGAGCTCGATACGCATCTGGCTAGAGGTCCTTCCAGCGCGTGGCCCTCGAGTGGTCAGCCACGCCGGCCTTCCACACGTACATCCAGCCGTTGTCCTCCGCACGCTTCCCGTGTGAGTCTGGCCGTGTACGCTTCCAGCTTCTAGGCAATGCATCCGCAGCAGGCCCTCTCCGCCCTTCTGGGGAGCGTCACTTGCCTGTCGGCAAGGCTGGGGGAGTCCGCCACACCCTTTGGTTCCCTCGTTGGCGCCGACGGGCACCAGGGGAGGAGCCAGCTAGCAGATGTACTGCGATTTGCACTCCTCCATCTCCCTCGCTCCCTCCCTCGCCCCCTCTTTCTTGTCGAGGACCGAGGTCCGATGACCGAGGCTTCTGGACGCTATGGGCATTTGGGGGCCTCTGGAAACCTCCCAGGGTGGGGGGCTCGAGAGACATCCGCCCTCCCTCCCTTCCTTCCTCTTCTCGTACCGGGGCCGCTTTGGCTCAAGCCAGTTCGGCTCGACATGATCTTGACTTCCGCCAGGCTACGCAGTGTTTCTTGCTGAGCACATGGGTGCCTCGTGCTCTCAGTGGGCTTGTCATGCGCACCTCTATTCGAAAAACGTGTTCTGAGTACACTGGCACACCAGATTTCCAGGGGGCGTCCGTTACCAGCATTGGAAGCTTAACTAATGGGACGGGCGTGGCAACATGCTAATGGGTTCAGTTAGGGTACGACGGCGATGAATAGCATTGAGGCTGCTCTCTCGATGTAGTCTCGCCTGTGGAGCATTGCCCGCGCGTTTCGCACCATTGACCAGCTGGAACAATCTGCCCTGCACGAGCGGATTTGCACCCGCGGCGTTCGCAGTGTGCGCAGCGCGGCCATTCGTGATGTTATTTTCGATGTCGCGGCGCAGGATGATGACTTAGAAGACGGTGCCGATCATCCGTGGTTCGACGTATTGGATAAAGTCAACCCGCATAGTAAGGATAAGCAACTTTCAGAAGGGTACCCTTGCATCCTTGCCTCCTCGGCCCATCCTTAGCACCTTTCGCTGGCCGCGCCCCGCTCTAAAAGTGTCGACATGGCCTCCCAAAGCCCTTGCATCCTTATCATTCGTCCTTATGATACTGGTCGACTGTAATGCAGATGAAGATGGCTGTCCTGCTCGCCTTTCCGTACGCGAGCATGCCCAATGTGGTTGGCCGGGCAGGTTGGCAGGCTCGCTGCCGTTGGCGAGTCGGCCGTCGTGGATGTCGCGTTGGGCGCTTGGCGTTGGCAACCCTTCACTTCTCACTCGGCAGCCGCACTGTGGAGCCTCAACTAGATTTCCACGGACCTGTCCAACTCGTGCAGCACAAAATATGCCCTGCAATTTCCTCGATCACCTCGTGCCGTTCGAGCGGCTGCTTACCCCGATGGGCGTGTGGCAGCCGCTTGAACTGGCCATCATGCGAGTGCTCGCGTGGATGGCGCCGCGCACAGCATTCGTCTTCAAGGCGGTTTCCCGATGACGCTCTGCTTGCATCTCGCCGTTTCCATGCGCCCGCTGCCCAACAACATCGTCGTCTTTGGTAAGTATTGCAATCAATGTGCACGCGGCGTGTCATTCTCGCGCCTGACGCCACCATGTCCGCCATCATGGACCTCACGAAAGTTGCACGCATTGGTGGCATTGCAGTCGTCCTCTTGGCCATCATAACGGCGTTGAAGCACACATTCCACCCCGAGGGCGCATGCGTCGGTCGGGCGATATTGCATTTCGTCGTTTTGAGCATCGCGCATGCCCGCGCCATGAGTCAGGTTGTTGCACGACGCGAGTAAGATTCGGCAACGTCTCCATGCACGTGACACAGTTATGACATGAGCATTCGCATTCTCGCGCCTTGGGCCGATGCTCTTCAGCGACACGGGTGCGCTCA